AAAAAAAACGAAGTCCAGATGACATGATTCAACCTTTTTTGTTGTTATATACCTGGATGACTGAGAAAACAAACTTTGTGTTTTTGAAACCATTAGTGAAAAGGCCAGACTTCAGGGGTATCTGAGGCAGGCTTGAAACACAAGAGTCAGGGTGGCTTCTGGGTAATACCAGATGGCTAGGCCTCAGACTGACGAAGCCTCTTGGATGAGGGGCGAAACGTTTCTTTTTAACAAAAAAACGAAGTCCAGATGACATGATTCAACCTTTTTTGTTACAAAAGAAAACGTTTCATTTATCAGGGTCACAAATAAAACTTACAAAGCCAGTTTCCAGGTTCCCACATGAATTTAATTTCCTTGCATCACCACCACATTAGCAGCCACTAAAAGCATCAACGATGGAGCCAAGAACAAACGAAAGGCCGAGCGGTCCTTGAGGGAATGTCGCCCACTAAGTTTTAGACAGAGATCATGAAGCGAAATGGTTGTTTTAGTTTTGGTTCAATCTTGGAAATTACATCATACACCTCGTGACATCACAAGATATGCTCGGAGCTTGTGGTTAGGCCAGTCACAATAACAAATTTTGCTGGGCGATTAACTGTCTCAGAAATTTTGCGATAAATGATAATATTGTTTGAAATTTAACAATAATTAGTAATTAATAATTACTAAAGATGATGGATGGATGGATTTTGTTTAAAAGATTTACCAAATATATTTATGATAAATCTTTTAAACAAAATCCATCCATACATATTTGAAATATGGACAAATGCAATAACTGTGAAGTTTGTTTTTTTTAGTTAAATGTTTATGCAATATAGTTTACTTTTGTATTTTGAATTATTTGTGATGGAATGGACAATGGAGACCTGTCCAGGGTTGTCCCCTGCCTCTCGCACAGTGATAGCTGGATATAGGCACCAGTGATCTCTGGGACCCGAAAGCTGCTGCATTCTATTCATATACCCATGCTCACAATTCAGGCTGCTGTTTTATACTGTATTATTTGACATTATTAGTGTTTACTACGGGCATACATTATTGTTTTAAATAAATGTTTATTTGTTTACACTTTTGTTTAATCTTTTCATCATTTCAATAGAACATCATTTCAGAATCTAAAATCATTCCTGTGGTGAAAATAGTTTCAGAATCGAAAATCGGTTTTGAAATCGTATCGGCACAACAAAAATCGGAATCGGATAGATTCACCAGACACTGAGAGATTCGCACCCCTAGTAATTATTGTCAAATTTAAGAAGAAACGTTGGTTAATTTTGCATGAAGTACCTTTTCTTGACCACCGGATGGCAGTATAAGACTGTTTGAACTGAAAGATGGACAGTGAAGGAGCAAGCAGAAAGTCTCTTTTAGAAAAATGGGAGGGAGGTCCCTTGGCGTGACATGGGCCGTCTCTCCTTCCTTTATTCAGTTCTCAAAATGGCGGACGCTCGGTGTGGTTTGAGCTCTTTAGCATAGCATTTTTCACACAAAGCTTTTAATAAAAAAAAATCAGTAAACAAGTTCTCAGCTTCTTTTTGCAGAGAAAAACAACTTTTTAGACGAAGACACAGGTTTCAACCGTGAATTTTGGAGCTTCGACAAGACGGAGGTTTTTCCCCCGAGGTCGGCCTGATAGCTTAGCTTCTCAATTTAACTGCATGGTGGGATGCATCTCAAACAATGATGAGTCCAGCTACAGGCAAGAGGTGGAATACCTGGAGAGCTGGTGCAAAGAGAATAACTTTCACATCAACGTGAAGACGACAAAGGAGATGATTGTGGACTTCAGAAGGAACAAAAACAACTACACCCCACTGAACATAAGAGGATCAGTGGAAGTGGTCTCCAGCTACAAGTACTTGGGTGTACACATGAATGACAACCTCAGCTGGAGCAACACCACCACCAGCCAGATCAAGAAAGCTCATCAGAGACTACTTCCTCAGGCGGCTGAGACGAACTGGTCTGGGAAGCTCAGTCCTCACCTCCATCTACAGGTGTGCAGTGGAGCATCCTGTGCTCCAGCAGCAACGTGTGGCATGGAGGCTGCACAGCTGCAGAAAGAAATGCTTTGCAGAGAGTGGTGAAGGCTGCACAGAAGATGTTGGAGTCAGTCTTCCCACCATCACAGACATCTACACCTCCAGATGCAGGAAGAGGGCCACCTGCATTATGAAGGACCCAGCACACACTTTTTGCCCGGCTCCGCTCAGGAAGGATGTTAAGGAGCATTAAGTGTAGAACCACTAGACTGAGGAACAGCTTCTACCCTGAGGCTGTTAGACTCATGAATCTCTAACCAGAAAAATCACTGTGAAAAAAATCACATCATGTTGCTGCTGATCCGTTTCAATGTTGATGTGTTCATGCGTACTCATCTGCTCACACGGACTTGTGTTCAGGTTTGTGCTGATGTTCAACGTATTGTTTTTATGCTATTAGTGCTTAGTGTATATTTAGTTGATGTTTTTCTTAGTTAATATCATGGATGTTATCATTGTTTTTCTTTTACATTTTATTGTTGGATGTAACTGGGACCCTGTGTACATAATTTCGCTCCACCACATGTACCATGAGGTGCGAATGACAAAGAATCTCTGACTCTGACAGATTTTAAAGAAAAGAGAAAGGGAGGGGTCAGTGAAGAGCACGGGAGCTGAGCCTTTTGCCATCCAGTGTCTTCAGTAGAAAGAGACACAAATAAATGATAAAGCTGATAAATGAAAATTAGGTTGATAATTTTCATTTATCATGCAATTAATTGATTTGTTTATTGCGACAGGCCTACTTGTGGTGTGACAGACTCCCAGCAACTACCACCTTAAATTACAGCACATCTGTTAAATTAGCTTTAATCATTTATGTGTTGGCTAATGTCGATTAGCTGTGGAAGCCATCTTGAAATGGTAAATTTCCATGACCGTGCAAGAAGAGTCAGAGACCAACAAGACCTCTGAGACCACGCCGAAAGAGATACAGCTTCAGCAGGTGAGAAGGGAGACTGAGCATACAACCACTGTTGCCCTGATTCTTCACCAGCCTGAGCTTTATAGGAGAGCAACAAAGAGAAAGTTCACCTCATTAAATACCTGCTAGAGTTGGTCATACAACACGAGGAAGACTGTGGCCAAATGCATCTTGGCACCGTAAAGACAGACAGTAAACAGACTGCTGCAAAACGTAAAGAAACCCTGATGTCTGCAAAAGAACTGTTGTATATACACAGTCTCCCCATCTCACTTACTGAAGCTTGTACCTCGGTGGTCTCTCTCACTGTTCTCTTTCAATGTGTGAGGATGACCTGCTCTTAGTAGATTTACATTGTGACGTGTCCCTGTGTCAGTTATGTAAATGGTAAATGGACTGTACTTATATAGCGCCTTTCTATCATATTTCAAGATACTCAAAGCACTTTACACTACAATCTGTGCCCTCATTTACCCATTCATACAGCACACTACTAGATCTATACAAAGCTAATTGAACAAATCATTCTAAAGAGACTAACAAGTGCTTTAGATCACATTCATACACTGATGGGACCCACATCGGAGGTTATGAGGGGTTCAGTGTCTTGCCCAGGGACACTTCGGCATGTGACTGCTGGAGGATTATGTGAATGTCGAACTAATTCATCTGCTCTCTCTAGACAGCTGATTGGCTGAAAGAGGCTTAAAAGGACCAAGCTCCGCCTGCTGGAGGAGCGAATGAGGCCAGAGGAGAGATGTTGGTCTGGAGGTGGCTGGCTTTTCTCTCCAGCCTCGCTCCTGCTCCTGTTGGAGACACCAGCAGTTGCATCTCATCACTGATATTGTTGAGTGGATTGTTGTCGGGACTCGGAATTACCAGCAGTCATTGTTTTTGTTTTTTGATTGTAGGGTTAGTCCTTGGACCGTAGGTTGAGGGGAGCAGCCTGAATCTGCTGGTTGGTTCAGGGTTTCACCCTCTTTTTGTTTGTTTTAGCCGGGGCTCTCAGTTTGCAGCTCTGTTCAGGTGATTGATGATTAAAGTCTTGTCTAAATGCACAATCTTCTGGGCTTCATATGCTGTGTGTCCTGTCATTTACTCCTGGACAATCTCAGGACCATACGAGCAGAAAGTTGCTACGTGTTTTTCTGCAAGAAGAGAGATGGACAGCAGCCTCCCCTCCTCCTCTCAGCATTAAAGTCAGTCTGTGTGTGTTAAATGGACTGAATCAACATCTCCACGGCCGACTCGGAGCTGTGTCTGTGTTTCAGCTGGTAAGTTTATGTTTGTTAACGTTACTGCAGCTTAACACGTACATCGCGGTGAATTAAACTAGAATCCATGTAATGCTAATTTTAAGATATTAGTGTGTAAATTTATTTTATCTACGTAGCTAGCTAAACTCAGAAGCTAACTAAAGATAGACAGTAACAGATGAAGCTTAGCTTGTAAAAATGTGCTCATCCATTGGATCAGCTGGTTAAACAGTTCAGCTAATGTTCACCATTTGTTTGTTCTCCTCACAGGAGCCTCTGACCCTGAGGAGGACAGACAAAAGAAAAGCGAGGTGGGGGCCACAGGACAGTCACAAACTTTGTTATTAATTTGCTGCCTTTTTCTACAGTGGAGGCTGCATGGTGGAGGTAAGTAAACTTTAAAGGATTTTCTATTTCTCAGCCTAGATTATGTTTTTTGTGCAATAAAAACAAAACCATGATGTTGATGTTTTGTGTTCTCATGTCAATTAGGGAGACAATCAGAGCCCTAAACCCCAGAGAACCACAGAGAAGATTCAGGTAGAGACACAGAGGTGCAGAAGTCTGCATAAACCTTAACCTCAGTGAATCCAGTGACCTGCTGGTGGAATGTGAGGGACGATATGTCAGTGCTGTCAAACTGACAACCAGTTATCTGTGGGTGCAACAAGCATTATCCACACCCTCAGAGTGAACATTTTCTACTGCTGGAGACACCATCAGCCAGGAGTGGACTTGTTTGTATCCAGAGAAAGTAGACATGTTGATTATTCTGAAGAAAAACTGTTAAGTGAAAAGGTCCTCAGCGTGTAGCAGTGAGCATTAGACACTGACGTGTCACTTGTTGTTTGCAACTGTTCTTTTGAACTAGAAATTATTTGTTTATTTTTATGTAAGAAAACTGCTTGGAATAGAAATGCCAAAGTTAAAAAATAAAACTCAAGATTTGTACTGTAATGTGTAACGTAATTTTATTCTTGTTAGAATTAATAGTAATTACAAAACTGATACAGAAAAAAGAACCGTCCAGGTACCGACACCGGTACCGATTTTTTTTAGAAAGGTACCCAGCTCTATATGTGTGTGCGCATGTCTGTGTACCTGGACGTGATCGTCTTCAGTGACCGGGTCTGAGGTGCTGGTGGATTTATCAGCTGTTCGTTTCCTCCTCACTGCCACCCGAGGCCGAGCTCTTGAAAGATCTACACAAAATGGTTAACATGTGTTAGCAAAATGTCAGGTTTACCCTAAAAAAGAGGCAAAAAGACATTTCAATTATTTCTAACGCTCTATGGTAAAAACAAACAGTATAGTTGTGTACATACCACATCAGTATTCACAGTTTTGTTTACGTTTATAGTTTTTACTGCATGTCTACAACTGAACTACTTCCACATGGCTACTGTCGTTTCACCCGCTTTATGAAAAACGTCAGAAGATCTTTGCTTTATGAAACTTTTTATTTAAATACTTTTTAAACTTATTTTGAGAAAAATACACTGAGATCCTTTAAATTCTTGCAAAAAATAATGTTCACTAAAATCTAGTCTCCTTGTGCAACTATTAGCTTTTAGCTATTGTCTTACTAAGTAGCTTTAGCTAAGATTTTACCAATTTTAGTTTTTAATCACAAACACAAAATTTAGTTTTCAGCTACTGTTTGTTAAATTTTTAGCTCTTAGCTGTGGTTTTAATGCATAGAACTTTTAGCTAAAGTATGGCTGATTTTAGCTTTTAGCAATAGCTTTGATAATTTTAGCTTTTATCAAAGATTTTGATTTTTATAGCTTTGAATTAATGTACCACTACTGTGGTTTTTAGCTACCATTTGGTTGATTTTAGCTTTTAGGCATATTTTACTCATTTTTAGCTTTTAGATGTGGTTTTATTACATTAAATTTTGGGCTAAAGTTCGAACAATTTCAGCTTTTAGCAACAGCTTTGATAATTTAATTGACGGTTTAGTCAATTTTGGATTTTAAAAACGATGCATACAAATTTTAGTTTTTAGCTACCTTTTGGATGATTTTAGCTTTTAGGCATGATTTTGCTCATTTTTAGTTTTTAGCTGTTGTTTTGTAACAAATACTTAGCTACGTGTTGGATGGTTTCAGCTTTTAGCAACGGTTTAGCGCATTTTAGCTTTTAGCCACTGCGTTGCAGCTTTCTGTTTGCTTCATCTCTAAACATTCAGTTAATTTAGTAACATATTTTAAGTTTTTACACTCTTGAGCTAATAAATTCAAGGTTTTCAGGTAGCCCTTCCATGCTGGCATTAAACAGTCATTTTGAAACTATTATTCTAAACAACTTGGGTGGTGTAAATTATAAAAATAGTAAAAAAAATGTATCTAAAGCATTTATTATTGCGTTTGTTGTTTGTGAAAACCATTTCACCAGTGTTGCTCAAAACTAGTTGCACCCATTCACTCCCTCCTCTGGTAATGCAGACACTTTTCAAAAAAGTAGAATATCATGGAAAAGTTGTTTAACTTCCATAATTCCATTAAAAAAGTTAATCTTTAATAGATGATAGATTCAGGGCCCATAATTTAAATGATTTCAAGTATTTTGAAAATTTGTTTATTTTTTTACATAATTTGGACTTCCAGCTCATGAAACCCACGAAAACAGGATTTCAAAAAATCAGAATACTGTGAAGACATCAGACCAAATTTTGCAGGGCATGAATGTTTCAAACTGAGTGTGACACACTAATCATCTACTAAACTCAAAGCACCTGCACAGATTTCCTCAGGTGTCATTAAATTGCTTCATTTTGGTTCAATTGTCTCAGTTCAGTTCAATATGGGGAAGACTGCAGACATTAATGGCCAGAAGACCATCATTGATGCCCTCCACAGGATAGGTAAGCCACAAAAGTTCATAGCCAAGGAGGCTATTCACAGAGTGCTGAGTCCAAGCATATCAATGGAAAGCCTAGTGGAAGGGCAAAATATGGCAGGAGAAGATGCACCAGCAACAGAGATGACCGTGGACTTCAGCGGATTATCAAACAGAGAAAATTCTAGAATTTGGCAGAGATCCAGAAAGAGTGGAATGAGGCGGGAGTCACAGCTTCAAAAAGGACTACATTCAGACACACCCGAGAGATGGGCTACAACTGCCATGTTCCTCAGTCCTCTTTTCTGATGAAAGTAAAATGTGCCTTTCATTCAGAAATCAAGGTTTAAGGGTTTGGAGGAAGAAGGGTGAGAAACAGAGACCATACTGCTTGAGGTCCAGTGTGAAATATCCACAGTCAGTCATGATTTGGGGTGCAATGTCTGGTGCAGGTGTTGGTAAACTCTGCTTTCTTAAATCCAAAGTCACCGCAATTGTCTACCAAAATGTTTTAGAGGACTTCATGATTCCTTCTCCTGAGGATCTGTATGGAGATGCAGATTTCATCTTCCAGCAGGACCTGGCCCCTGCCCATGCCGCCAGAAGCACCAAAACCTGGTTTGATGCCCATGCCACAGTACTTGACTGGCCAGCCAACTCAACGGACCTAAACAATTCAATTCAATTCAATTAAGTTTATTTATATAGCGCCAAATCACAACAAAGTTGTCTCAGGGCACTTTACAGAAACATTCTCATACATAAAAGCCAATTAGTAGTTCTCTATCTAAGGAATCCAGCAGACGAGATGAATCTTGGCTTCGATGCAGTCTCCCATCCTGAGCAAGCACAGTGGCAAAACATCATTGAGAATCTATGGAATATTCTCAAGAGGAAAATGAGGGGCACCAGACCCAACAACAAGGAAGAGCTGACAGCAAGCATCAAGGAAATCTGGACTTCCATGACTCCCAGTCAATGCCACAGGCTGACTGACTCAATGCCACGTCACATCGAGGCAGTGATTAAGGCAAAGGGATTTCCAACCAAGTACTGAAGATTGACATATTGTTTTGAAAGTACCATATTTTGATTGATTTGTTGTGATCATAATTTCTTATTTTTTTTCAAAAGTATACAAAAACTGAGAAGTAGTGTGGGCTGATGTCTTCACAGTATTCTAATTTTTTGAACTCCTGTTTCTGTGGGTTTCATGAGCTGGAAGCCCAAATTATGTAAAAATAAACAAATAAATACTTGAAATCATTTAAATTGTGGGTCTTAAATCTATCATCTATTAAAGATTAACTTTTTGAATAGAATTATGGAAGTTAAACAACTTTTCCAAGATATTCTAATTTTTTGTACAGGGTCTGTATACCTAAACAATTGGTTGCCTTACAACTTGGAATTCAAATGGATTTTTATTGATTATGAAGATAATTATAATCTTAGCTTTACAAAGAGCCTTCTTGGATGTTAGGAGGATCTCTAGGTTAAAGAAACTTTGTGAACCCTGTTCTAATTCGTATAGGCTTCGCCCTTTAAGACTTTCGTTAGTGGGTTTATCCCTAGGCGCTCAGCACAGCACTGAAAACTTTAGTCCACGCCCACCTGCTGTGTGTGGGCCTCATCCCCAGTCCGTATAAATTACGGTGAGACTGGGTAATTGGCTCCCATATTTTCTTCCGCCAGCCAGCTAGCACTGTCAGAAAAACGAAGAAGGAAAAGTTGTCCAGCTTTGACCGGCACAACCTTTGTTAAGGATGTCTGGGTTTCCGCCACGCCAACCCACTGCCGTCCCGGTGAGCTCTTCCTTCCTGAGGAGAAGCAGACGAGCAGCCTTGTTCAAGGTAAGCGCCGAGGAGTGCTTTTCCGTGGCGGGCCGCTACCCGCTGGAGGATGCCACCTCCTTTTCTAAACGTGTTTTTTCCTCGCGGTAATTGAATGAGTTCCTCGAAAAAGGCGATGTTAACAGCAGCCCCACTGAATGTTTTTCCGTGGAGGGCCGCTACCCGCTGGACGACGCCATCACCTTTTCTAACGTGTTTTTTCCTTGCAGTAATCAAATGATTTCCTCAAAAAAGGCGATGTTAGCAGCAGCCCCGCTGAACGTTTTTCCAACTTTTTTCAACTTCAGGACCATCCTTGAGAAATCGCAGAGGTCCGAGGAGGTCTCAGACTGTACACCATCTGGTGACATCACAGTCCATCTGCCCCTCCGGCCGCTGGAGGGACGGCCTTGGCCAGCAAGAGCACCAGAGGCGCTCCACAACTGCGGCAGCAACTTCACGCCCCGCTCCTCCACCAGCCCCCTCCACCAGGTAACAGATCCTTGAGGGGAAGGTATGTATTTTTTGATGTATGTTTTTGATATAAAACAGAAACACCTCTGAAAGTAAAGTTTTTCATCTGAGACTGTCAGATCAGCTGATCTCAGCTGCCTCTCTTCTCACATTCCCCACACAGAACGAGCCAGTAACCTCTAAACAGCGTTTTAAATGGCACCACAGTTCAGTAAATATCACAAAACACTCGTCTGCCACGTCAGCTAAAATAATGTTTTTTCAGCAGACAGAGCCTGGTAAAATCCCTCAATTTCAGCCAGAGCCCGTTTTTAATCTCTGCTGTTTTCTGCCCACTCACAGCGCAGCGTGAGTAAACGTGTTTCTCTACGACAGCTGCAGCCTCCACTGAAACGGCGTCTCACTCAGAAAGCGCTCACGCCTCCTCTCGGTGCACACCGACGCACCTCAGCTCTAATGTGAGACCGCAGCCTGGGCCCAGCACAGAGGCACACATACAGCCCTTTTTTTTTCATGTCAGAGCCCCCCTTGGGCTCCCCTGGAGATTCTCCGGAATGAGTGATGGCAGTAAGGATTTTTAAGTCTGGTTGACGTTCATGAGAAACATGACAACACAAATGCATGCCCGCTCTCCGAGCGCTACTCAGAGTGGCAGCGAGTGTGTTCCCTGGACAGATGGGCGGACCATCTGATCAGAAGGGGTTACAAGCTGCAGTTCGCAGCTCAACCCCCACCGTTCAGAGGGATTACAGAGACTGTTCTGTCTTCTCCAGAACAGAGCTAGTCTCTCCAGTCAGAAGTTCAGGAATTTCTGACAAAAAAACCTGACTTCCAGAGTTCCCAACGGAGAGGAAAATACGTTGTTTTTTTCCCCTCCCACTACTTCCTGGTTCTGATAAAAAACCGGAGGGATGAGATCCATTCTCGACCTGTTCATGTTCAGCAATTCCATCATGGGGAGACAATTCCACATGCTGACAAACAGCTGCTTGAGAACTTCACCAGAACGACTGGTTTTCACCTCCATAGATCTGAAGACCGCATATTTTCAC